CGTGCCCACATCCCCTAAGAACTCTGCCACAGTGAGGTCATCACGTCACCACTGCCCTACTGTCTGTGGGTCTGTCTCTGAACCTCCTCTGTGCCCAGCTGGACCAGAGCTCCGGGGGCCGGGGACACGTTTTTCTTTTTTCTTCTTTTCTTTTTTAAAGACTTTATGTCTATGGGTGTTTTGCCTGTGTGCATGTCTGGGCATCATGTGCATCAGTGCCCACGGAAGCCAGGAGAAGCTGCTGTATCCTCCGGAACTGGAGTTACAGACAATTGTAAGCTGTCGTGTGTGTTCTGGGAATTGAACCCTGGTCTTCTGTAAGAGCAGCCAGTGCTCTAACCACTGGGCTATCTCTCCAGCCCCAGGCTTCTTTTGAACCTGTCTTAGCACCACACCTCAGTCCATGGCGTCAGGGGTGTCTAGCCGATCACTCCCTGTGAGTGATGTGTGGGAGGGAGGCAGGGAGCGATGAAGGACTTTGATGTGAGTTGGACAGAATGTTATAGAGAAGGGAAGGGAGCCCCCTGAACCCACAGAGTCAAACTCGGTAGAAACAGTGGTGATCAGTACTACCATGGGTTCTGAGCTGGGCACCTCACAGGCTAGGCCTTACCCCAACCACAGCAACTACCGCTATTGTGCCCATTTTGAAGAGGAGGAAAACTGAGTCTCAGGTAAGTTAGTGATTTCTTTTTCCTGGAGAATCGATCCCACAGCTCCAAGGTTCAACCCCAGACTGGCCTGATTCTTTAACCTGAGCCCTTAATCCCAACTCCGTCAGCCTTGACCTGTCCCCAGCTTTGGTCCCATTCCTCCTGAGTCTGCCTAAAGGTAGACCCGGCTCTGGGGTTCAAACATAAAGAATGAGCAAAGGGTGTCGGGAAAGTAGCAGGTAGAGGGGGCAGCACTGTGAAGAGCAGGACTGGTGCAGATCATAGGTATTGATGGCATCGTGGCAGCCTCTGGAAGACGACTCATGGGCTAGCCCTATCTAGTCTTTAGGGTGTGGCGTCCTAGTATGATAAGAACGCACAGAAACAGACACACTTATACATACACAGATGCGCACGCATGCACGCGCACACACACACACACACACACACACACACACACACACACACACACACGAGTACATCCAGGAGTGACAAATGGCTGGATGGGGTGTTGCACGTGAGCAGAGTACATGAGTGACCATCCAGGCAGGTGTGGATGGCTGGCAGGGCACAACCAGGACGTCTGGGGAGGGCAGGGGGCGGGAGGAGAGGGGCTTGGGGAGCCAGTCCTGGCCTGACCCTTGGGGCTGCCAAGCCTTTAATCTGGGACCGGGAGCTGCAGAGCACACCCTGCGTTTCTTGGAGTCCCTCAGATCTCAGGAAGAACCTTTGTCGAGAGCTTTTCTAAGTGTCACGTTGCAGGTCACGGAATGTTCTTCAAAACTGTTTAACTGGGGCCCCTCAGCTCTTGATCCCCCACAGCGACCCTCTGTGGTCAGGAAGCAGCCTAAGGTGCCTCTCTCCGCCCTGGGGAACAGGCTTGTGTTCCCGTGGGACAACAGTGGCCAGCATAAAACCAGTCTCTCCGCAGACCCCTCACTCGGGCTGCCTCTGACCAACTAATGAGACAGGGGCCAGGGAGAGAAGAGGCTTACTGCTGACCCCCGGGCACCACGGTGCCTGCACATGGGACCTACTGGGAAGAAAACCCATCACCTCCCCTGCCAGTACCCAGTGGCTCTCAATCCCCCTCCGAAGGGGGCCGGCGTGGCTGTCATGGTGGATCAGGATTAGTGTTGGTGAGCCTGAACTCGATCCAGTTCACTTAATCCTGTAGATGATGGATGTGAAGTGGAGGGTGAGGGGTTATGTCCCCTGCCAGCAGTTTCCAAGCAACTGGGGACAGTGTACGAACATGAGAGACAGAGAGGGGCAGGATGCTGAAGACTGGAGACTGCAGGGCTCAGAAGCCCCCCACAGGTCTCCCTTGAGTCTCTGGGGACCTCTAACCTCAGACCTTCCTCTCCATATCCACCAAGAGTCACTTAGCAATGCCTTTCTCTTATCATTCCTTTCCTTCATTTTTGTGTGTGTTTGGGGGTTAGATGTATGTATGGGTGTTTATGGGTAGTCTTGTATAGGTGGGGGATAGATGTGTGTACGTGTATGGGTAGGTGTTTGTAAGTGTGTGGGAAGTGCAGGTGTGGGTACAGGTGTATGCATGTGTGTGGACACCAGAAGACAACTTCAAGTGTTCCTCAGGCTCTGTTCACCTTGGTTTCGGTTTGTTTGTTGTTGTTGTTTTTAATTTTTGAGACAGGGTTTCTCTGTGTAGCCCTGGCTGTCCTGGAACTCACTCTGTAGACCAGGCTGGCCTCAAATGCAGATTTCCACCTGCCTCTGCCTCCTGAGTGCTAGGATTAAAGGCGTGCACCACCACCACTGCCCAGCTCTCACCTTGTTTTCTGAGACAGGGAGCTCACAGAGACTAGGCTGGCCTGTCTCTGCCTCCCAAGCACCAGGATACAAGCACTTTTCAGTGGGCCTGGATTTTTACGAGGGTTCTGGGACTCGAACTCAGGTACTCACACTTGCAAGGCAAGCTCTTTACTGAGCCCCCTGCTTTTCACAGATTGAATGAGCAGTCTGTGCCAACAAGAAGAAACAGGTTCTCTGGGCGAAGCAGGCTATCACCAGAGCACCCTCATCTTAGCTGCCCCCACCCTGTGCGCCAGCTTTGGGGCAGGAAACCGAAAGCCACGGCCTGCTCTGATGCCAGCTTGGGGGCATCCGGAGCAGGATTTATTCCCTGTGACCAGATGCCCCCTGCGGGACATCAGCAGTAGTGCATGGTGTTCGCAGCCTCAGAGATGGCAGCACAGAATGTGTGCATGGGGCAGGATTGCACCAGGAAGATCCATGCCTCTGCCAGTGACGGGAGGCCACCTTCAGGAGGATATATATGCTGAGGGCTGGGAGGTGATCCGGCCAGAAGACAGACGTGGAGCAGTCTTCCAGGCAAAAGACCAGTTTGTAGGAGTGGCCACTGGTGGCACTGAGCTAGCTTCCATCCAGGGACAAGCGCCACCCTGGGCACTGCTGTGCCTTTCTCGGTGTGTCTGGTCATCGGAAAACCCAGAGAGAGAGGTGCTGTGTTGTCCCCATATGGAGAAGGGTCACACAGCAGAATGCTAACTCCCGGGACTCAGGTTTGAAGGACCAGGACTACAGAGCAGAACTGGATAGAACTGGATGGAGCAGAACACGGTTAAACACAGGAAAAGTGCTGTTAATATTAAAGATGGGTTCTGATGCAAACAACCCAAGAAGTTTGGCACTGGAGTCTTTTGACTGTTGTTAGACCCTTCACTGTGCTGGACTTGTCTCATGCATCCCAGCTGCTTTGAACACTCCACAGATGCCACGAAGAAGGTGCATGCAGCCACAGCTGCATGCTGCTGAACTGAGGGCACTGCACACAGCCACAGCTGCATGCTGCTGAACTGAGGGCACTGCACACAGCCACAGCTGCATGCTGCCAAAGAGAGGGCCCTGCACACAACCTCGACTGCTTGCTGCTGACACACAACTCTGGCTCCAGCAAGCACTATCGTAGCCAGAACGCTTTTGAACAGCTTGCCCTGGACCTCTTGCCCACCACAAGCCTCAACAAACTCCAGCAGCCATTTTCAACTAGAAAGGAAGCATTGGGGAGGTGGAGAAAGGAGGATCAAGGTTGTTCTTAGCCACATAGCAAGTTCGAGGCCAACTGGGATACATGAGACCCTGTATATAAAAAAAGGTGGAAGAAATGCATAATTCAATCACCAAGTGTGGATCAATGCCACTATTTTGAAACATCTCCTTCCCACCTTCTTCCCCCCCCCATGCATATGCACGAAACACATACGTTCTGACTAATGCATACACACACATAGTCAAGACCTGATGACATAAGTCACTTTGTTTATCTGTACATGTGTGCATGCTACCTGTGTGTGTATGCGCATGCCACCTGTGTGTGTATGTGCATGCCACCTGTGTGTATGTACATGCCACCTGTGTGTGTTAGCGTGTGTGTGTGTGTGTGTATATGCGTGTCTCTATGTGTGTGTGTGTTAATGTCTAATGATCCTCCCTCCTCACGTCCCATTTCAAGTTCCCTCATGACACTGTGACCAGCATGGGTGGAGTCTTGTGACACCAGCAGCCTCTCTGACTCCCCACACCAGGCATTTGCTTTGCCTGGCTTTGGGTTAGTGTAGCAAATGAGGGCACACAAATGTTCTCAGGTGACCTTTCCACCTCCGTGTTAGTGTGTGAGACTTGTCCAAGATGTTTGTGATTATATTTGGTGTGTGATCCATGAATACTCAAAGCTCTAGACATGTGGATAGACTATAAAAAAATATGGTTGTTTTTGTTTTTTGTTTTTTTTTCGAGACAGGGTTTCTCTGTGTAGTTTTGGTGCCTGTCCTGGATCTTGCTCTGTAGACCAGGCTGGTCTTGAACTCACAGAGATCCACTTGCCTCTGCCTCCCGAGTGCTGGGATTAAAAGTATGCGCCACTACCACCTGACTAAAAATACATGTTTATACAGAAATATACATGTATAGAATCTGCATGTGTGTTTACATGTACACCCATGTATGTGCAAACACATGTAGACAGAGGAGAGCTATCATATAGGGATCGTACTTAGTATGTAGACTGTTGCTCTTCCACACACTCCCCAAATACCTTCCTTCTACAGCTTCTTCCTCTTCCCGTCCCTCTTCCCACCCCTCCTCCCATCCCTCCTCCCATCCCTCCTCCCACCCTCCTTCCTCCATTCTTCCCTCCCCTCCTGCTTCCCTCTTGCAGCCATCTCTTTGGGGACTCACAGAGAAACAGCCAGTCAACCCCAGAACTGCTCCATTCACCGACCCACCCTGGCAGCAGGCTCCGCCCAGGGAGGAAGCTCGGGCTGGGAGCCCAGGCCGATGCCCTTCCACTATGTCCCACAGGCTGAAGAGGGTACGCCAACAGGCTCCCGGCAGCCCCGTGCAGACCGCTGCCCACCACCCCCACGGACGCTGCCCCCAGGTGCCTGCCAGGCCACACGCTGCCAGGCCGACTCCCAGTGCCCGCGACACAGGCGCTGCTGCTACAACGGCTGTGCCTACGCCTGCCTGGAGGCTGTGCCACCTCCACCAGGTAAGCTGAGCTGGGCTCAGGGGACAAGGGGTCAGCTGGACCCAGTGCCAGCCTGAGGAAGGGAAGGAACTGGAGCTGTGTGTTCTGAGCTCCCCTCAGCCCAGCCCGGGTGCGCTCACCTGCAGCCTTCAGCCGCACCTCTGCAGCATCTGCTGGGTGCAGCTGCCTCATGTGCATGCATGGAGCCCCCAGCATGGAATACACACATTCCAGGGACAGTGTCACCACCACGAGACTCCACCCTTTTAAAAGGGGTGCAGTCTGTAGGACGGCTCAGTCTATAGGAGTGTAGGGGATAAAGGGGTCAGGGCACCTGCAACCAAGCCTGGTGACCTGAGTTCAGTCCCTGGAACCCATATGGTGGAAGGAGAGAACACACTCACCCAGGCTGTCATCTGGCCTCCACATGTGCTCACACCCCCAAAATAAACATTCTAAATACACATTTATCTTTATATCCAGGGTGGGAATGTAGCTCCGTTGGTAAAGTGCTTGCCTAGCAAGCCCAAAGCACTGGGTTCGGTTCCCGCCACTGTGTAAAGCAGATGTGGTGGTACACACTTGAAATCCCAGTACTCAGAAGGTAGAGGCAGGAGGATCAGAAGTTCAAGGTCATTCTCGGGAATTCAAAGTCTGCCTGAGCTACAGGGGGCCCTGTCTCAAAAAAATAAAAGTAATCAAATCCAGACTGAGGACTTTTCTTTAAAATCCCTGGCCAGTGCCCCATGGCCCTAGTGCCTCTAGATTTCCCCTAGGCAACCCTTGCATGCAGGGGTGGAACCCTGATCTGACGCCTGGGTGCTCCTAACGTTTCCCCTGGATACCTACAAGGTTCATTCCTCCACAGCCCTCAGACCCTCCTCCGAGAGGGTGCTCCCTTGCCAGCAGCCCCTCCTCCAGCAGGTCCTCCCCCCCCCCCCCGCCCCTTCCCACTGTTCGAGGCTGCAGAAGTCTGGGTTTACTGTTCTGTGTACCTAGTGTCCCCCACGTGGAGTCAGCCCAGCAGGGCAGAGTGTGGGCTGCCCTGCTGTTTTCCGTATCCCAGTACTGTGGTCTCTGGACCCATGCATGGCACTCGGTGAACACAGATGCATCCTCCGTTCCTTTCCTGGCAGCAGGAGTGGCTACAGCAGTTAGTGATGCTGACAGCAATGGCATCTGGTCCACATCCCTCAGCCTCAGTGCTCGGCTGTGCGATTGGGGGACAGGAGGGTGGCGGTGGCCTGGATGCTGCAGGCCTGTGGCATGCCCCACAGGGCGACGTGATGGAGCCATCCGCACCCTCTTCTATGGGGTGACACGCCCCTCCCTCAAGGCTGGTCACATCGAACTGCCCCGGGAAGGCCTCCATCTCACCCAGTTCTCTGTCAGTTCTAGACTGGCTGGTGCAGCCCAAACCCCGATGGCTTGGCGGCAACGGCTGGCTGCTGGATGGTCCTGAAGAGGTGTTGCAAGGTACCTGGCATGGATCCCCAAGTCGGAGCCGGCCCTCTTCCTCGCTGGGGTCTGTGGCCTGTGCAGAGAACCAGCAAGGCTCTCCCTGACAACGGGTCTCCTTCCTCAGTAGAGAATGAGAAGGGAAGGGGTCTGGAACCCCTAAAGTCTTAAAGGGCCTCGTTGCCACCTTAATGTGGGTGGGGCATGGAGGGCAGTTTCTTAAAGGAACCACATACAGGCCTGAGGCCCAGGGGTTTACAGAGGTAGGGCTGCACATGTGTGCATGCCGCTGGACCTGTGGCTTTGCACACTCTCATGTGGACCATCTCCATCAGGGTATGCTACACCTGTTCTTGTGGATGTGGCTGAATGTGGTGTGTCTGTGTATAAGCACATGTGTGCAAAAGCATGTTTATGTGTGTTGATTGTGGGTGTGTTGTGTGTACACACGTGGCTGTAGCTGTGAGTGCATGTTTCAGGGTATGCCAGTGTACTTGTAATCACATGTTCTTTGGGGGTTGGTGTGTGTAGGATACCGTGACTGTGTCCGTGTGCACTGGGTGCTGGTGGGAGGTGGTTCTCAGAGTTTTTGTAAGACACAGATGCAGCCTGGAGTCTGCAGGTGGGAGGTGGCCTCTCTGGGTGCACATGTATGTACAAACATGGCCTAGGGTCTGAGTGTACATGTATGCACTGTGTGAGAAGCACAGACGTGGCCTGGTATCTGGGCGGGGCTAGAAATCGGCCTTTCTGGATGGGGTGCACTGTCTGCCCCCCAGGTCTGCCATCTGAGACCTGGCCCGTGTCCCTCCGCAGCAGAGGCATGCAGCACCACCAAGGATGGGGCGGAGCCACTACTCTGTCCCTCAGGCTATGAGTGCCACATCCTGCGGCCAGGGGACCCAGCCCAGGGCATACCCAACCATGGGCAGTGTGTCAAGCAGCGCCGACAGACAGGTGAGTGCTGCTGCTCCGCTCTGCCCCGGCCCCGCCCCACCTGTCACCTGTCACCCTGTCACCCTCTCACCAGAGCCTGGCTCAGAGTCCCCTTGCCCCACTTCCTGCTCCCTCTGTGTCCTGCTCCCACCTGTCACCCCAGCTCTGTGTCTGCTACCTGGGTGACCTTGGGGTCAGTCTCTTCATCTCTCTGAGCCTCAGTTTCCTCCCCTGTACAATGGGGACCACTTCCCGTTGTCACGGGAGCAGGTGACAACAGCTGTGTAGGGTTCTGGGAGTGGAGCCAGGCTGCCACAGGTGTTAGGGAACACTGGATCTTGTGTGCCCATCTCTAGATTTGTCTTTAGCCCCACAGAATTTGAGTTTTTAAAATCTGTTACGATTGTGTGTGTGTGTGTGTGTGTGTGTGTGTGTGTGTGTGTGTGTGTGTGTTGAGGGAAGAGCAAGGGAAGGCACCATGGCGCACATGTGGTCTGTGGACAACTCTGAGGAGCTCAGTCTCTCCCGCCACCCTTGTGCAGGTTCTGGGACTCGAACTCGGGTCATCATCAGGCTTGGGCACACAGCAGGCCCCTTTACCTGCTGAGCCATCTATGAGGCTCAAACCTCATAGAATCTGCACTGTCTGAGAACCCTTGCTTCTCAGATGGCAGTTGGCCATCGTGAACATCCATCACAGAGGTCGTGGATGAAACAGCGAATCACAAACTCTCGTCTGTGTGAAATAGGCCGAGAGCAGAGTGGTCAAGCTTGGAGTCGGGGTTCTGTAAGGAACAACCAGGCTAACCCACACACATTATGACCACTGTGGCTCCACCATTCTTCCCATGTATTACTGCCAATTCCTAAACACCAGGGCACAGTGAGGGGGGTAGTGGGGATGGACCTGCAGGTGTAGAACACCAGAAGGCAGGCAGCCTTCAGGGGCTGCAGGACAGAGGGATGTCTTCCATGAGAGGCCCCAGCTGGGCTGAGGATGCTTCATACACTGGAAGCCCCTATCCCTGCCTCTTTCTGGCAAAGTCTCATGTAGCCCAGGCTGGCCCAGACCCTCTACTTACTATAGCTAAGAATGGCCTTAAATTTCTGATTCTTCTGCCCTAATGTACTGGGATTACAGGCCAACACCATACGCTGCTGTGCTGGGTTGCGCACAGGGGGTGGGGTGAAGGGCTTTGTGTAGCGAGGCAGCACTCTCCAAACTGAGCTGCATCCAGGCCCCAGGAAGGTCCTTCTGGTCCCTGGTCTTTTTTTTTTTTTTTTTAAACCAATTTATTTATTCTTATTTTTATTTGCATTGGTGTTTTGCCTGTATGTATGTTTGTGTGAAGGTGTCAGATCTTGGAGTTACAGACAGTTGTGAGCTGCCATGTGGGTGCTGGGAATTGAACCCGGGTCCTCTGGAAGAGCAGTCAGTACTCTTAACTGCTTAGCCATCTCTCCAGCCCCTGGTCCCCTGATCTTGCTCATTTGATTCTATGACTTCTAAGACTGGTGTAAATCAAACCAGTTCAGACCAGATCTAGGGAGTCTGAACCCAGTCCAGATGGATGCATTTCCTGGGGGAAGCTGAGCGTAGAGATCAGGCTATCCAACAAGACCACACCAGAAATGTCCAAGCCCAGGAAAGAAGTGTAATGGAGGCAAGAATACAGACTTGGAACTTCAGAAACAGCTTTCAGCTGCTTCCTCTTTCCTGGGTGGCTTTGCTCTGTCCCCGGGACTTTCTTAGCCTCAGTTTTCCTATCTGTAAATGGGATTTGGGGTGGTAATGTAGTAGTTACCACAGGGGCAGGTTCTGAAGCTCGGTGAGTATGTGCCACCTCCAGCCCTGGTACAGTAAGAGGGAGGAATCAGGTCGGGAACGTACCCCACCAGCTGCAAAGGGCATGTATGTACCTGAGGATGCACCTGTGAGTGAATGCACCTGTGTGTGCTTGCACCTGCCCATGCCCATGTGTGCTGTGCATGCCTCCCCTCCCCCAGGAACACCTCCAGCCTCCCAGGTGGAAGCAAATTCTCCCAGCCTTGACCTCAGGGCTGTCACTCAGGAATAATTGGTGGTAATTATGTCTGAGTTTGGAGTCATCTTAAAGTCCCTCACCTTCCTTTAGGGCAAAACTCTCAGCAGAGCATAAGAACACATATGTCACGGTAACTGAGAGAAAGAGTTAAAAAAAAAGTTTTTTTAACTGCATATTCAGAGAATCCCAGACTTGCAGAAAAGCTGCAGGAACATTCCTGGGACCACCTCCAGGCCCAGCACTATTCAAACATTCTTCTCCCTCTTTTTCTCCATAGAAATGGATGCATGCACTTTCTTGGGCCATTTGGGAATTAATTTCTGGGGCTGGATAGATGGCTCAGTGCATAAAAGCCCTTGCTGAGCAAGCATGAGGACCTGAAAAAAAAAAAAAAAAGCTGAGAGCCGAGTGTGGCCAGGTGTGAAATCCCACCACTGGGGTGGGTCAGGCCGATCAGGAAGATTGCTGATCGCCAGCCCAGCTCCAGGTTCAGTGAGAGACCCTGCCTTAAAGGAATAAGGTAGAACATGATAAAGCAGGACACCCAATGTTCTTCTATGGCTTCCAAGCACACACAGACATGTACACCTATACAAACATAACATGTGCATGCATACACACACACACACACACACACACACACACACACACACACCTGTGTGCATGCACACACACAATAAATTGTGGGCTCATGACCACTCTAAGGCATAGTCTTCCCTGCTACCAGCTCTCCTGGGGTCAGAGGGTCAGGCCAGCTTTATGATCCGGGCAGTAGTTTCCAAACATTTTGGTCTCAGGTCCCCTTTGACCCTCAAAATAATGTCAAAATATCTGCGCAACACTGCAACTGGAAACTGATTAACACGGCCCCCTGAGAGCCTGCAAGCTTTCTCTTCCCGCTTGTTTTCCAGAGGGGCGGATCCTGAGACAGAAGCTTCACAAGGAATATCCAGGTGAGAGGGGAGAAGGCACTCTTTCTCTTTCTCTGCAGAAGACACAAGGAAAGGAGGCAAGCCTTTAAGTGACAAAGAAAATATCCAAGTCCAGGGCTGAGCTAGAGGACAAAATGGCAGTTAGGTCTGAGAAATAAAGCCGAGCCCTGTCATTATGATGCTGGGCAGGACAGATGTGAGCCAGAGAGGTGATCAGGGCAACCATGCCCTCACCCTAGTGTCAGAATCTGGGGATGGGGACAGTTATGTCTCTGCTACCCTCACTCAGGGAATTGGAAGAGATGACCTTCATCCATCTTCCTGGTTGTTCGTTTATCTGAGAATACATACATACATCCATTCATTCATCCCCCTATCCATTCTTACATCCACCCACCATCCCGTCTACCTACCCACCTACCCACTATCCATCTACCCATCCATTGATCCATCCATCAATTCATCCATCCATCTCTCCATCCATCCATCAATTACCCATCCTCCCATCCAGTCTCCTATCCATCCACTCACTCACCCATCCACCTACTCACCCACCCATCCATCCACCTCTCTTTCCAACTACCCTTTTATTCATTCTTCCATCATCTCTTCATCTATCCATCCCTTCTTCCTTGCATCCCTTTCTGATCTCCCTTTCTCATCCACGCATCTACCCATTCACTCATCCCTCTATCTATCCTTTCTTCTACCCATCTACCCTACCTATCCACTTTTATCTATCATTCTTTCATTCTTCATCATTCATCTATCCACCTGCCCACTCATTCCTCCATGGATCCACCACTCACCTACCCACTCATCTACCTGTCCATCACCAATCCATCACCCTTCCATCCACACAGCATGTTGTTATCAGGCACTGCTCACCATTCAGGGCTGGAGGCTGTGGCTCCATCTGTAAACACAGCGAACCCAGTTCCTGTCACAGAGTAGCTCAGGCAGGAAATTCAAATACTCATAAAGTCTATGTGGTTATTTCATGGTACCGGTGACAAAGGCTCCAGATGTCACATGCCAGATACCATGAGGACCTTTTAGACCAGAAGAGTTTCTAAGGAGAAGAGCTTCCTAAGGAGGGATCAAGATAACTCAGCCTCTGGGATTGGAGCCCCTGGCAGTGGAAGGTTATGTGTGATGATCGGGGGAGGTGTGGCCGTCCCCATGGCTGCAGTGTGTGACGGGTGAGCTGTGGATTAGGTAGGCAGGAGAGCCAAGGATAAGGCTCAGAGATAGAGCACCTAGTGTGTCTGAGGCCTTGGGCTCAGTACTGCTCCAGGATGCTAAAGAAGGAGCAGAGACATGCAGGCAGGGACCCTGCTGGGGCAAAGGGAGAGATGCACCTGCAGACTGCCACGCTGTGCCAAGGCATCCATCCAGACTACCTCTGGAGGTCACAGGGGGCCCAGGCGGGGATCTGAGCAGAACATCTGTCCCGGCAACTGGGTTCTTGTTGCAGAAGGTGACTCCAAGAATGTGGCGGAACCTGGAAAGGGACAACAGAGGCACTTTCAATGAAGCCAAGACTGGCAGGTAAGCGGAGGTGAGATGGATGCTTAGACAGCCATCGTCCCCATGTTGGCCACATGAGGGCGACATCAGAATGTCACAATCCCTCCAGATTCCCAGTAAGTCAGAAGCAGGATCTAAACCGAAGACCTGGCTGACTGTGGCCTCCACGCTTAGGCCAGTGGTGCCTCCAGTGCCTCCCAAATCTTGCCTTCTCCCCTATTCGGCCAGACAGTGCTGTAGGGAGCACCTGTCTGACGGCTGTCGTGCCAGCACCCCCTGGCTCAGCATGGCTTGTGGCATCGACCAAACTCTACCGCTCAGCAGTAGCTGGTAGTCTGCACTATACACCGCAGGGGACAAATCCCATAGATGAGGCTGACCTCCTGTTAGAAGGGAGTCTACACCAGCCACCGGGTAGATCAACAAGGAGGCCACAGGTATAGCAGGGACTGTGCCAGGAATGACTAGCAGGGTGCAGGAGCTGGCTCCAGTGAGAATGAGGGAGGACCCAGAGGGGCGGGGGTCCGACACTAAGCTGGTAACTGAAATCTGCGGATGAGGAGGTACTACCTGGGATAAGAGGCTGGAGGACAGGTGCACCAGGTGGAGGGAAGTGAAGATTGTGGTTCCCACAATGCATCACTTCAGCTGTGAGGAGCCACCGGGAGGCTACTGAGGGGACAGGGGATGTCAAGGAGGCTATCTGCACAGGGGTCTGTCCGGCAGAAAAGTACAAAGGTGCCATGTAGCAGCCACCAGAGGGTCCCCAACTTCAAATCCAAGAACCCTCCCAGACTTCAGCAAGCTCACAAAGCAAATGGCAGCCATGACCATAGCAGTTCCCTAGGGGTTATTGAAAAGGAAGCAGGTTCCAGCTTCCAGGGTATCCTGGGCTAAATCCCTGGTAGACTGTGGAACAGGCAGAGACTGATGCCAGCCTGTCTGCTGTCTGAAAATGACAGGAGCCAGCCTCGGTGTGTGTCTGATAAAGTTCAAACCTGCAACTTTCACCAGGGCCTTGTGGCCCAGGCTCAGCATGGTCTTGAAGCACAGCTGAGGATGGGTGGATGTTCAGACGCGGGAGCCAGTGGGACCTGGCTGTAAAGCTCCGCTCTCTACTGTGTAGCCTTAAGTGAATGACTCAACTCTCCAAACCTATTTTCCCCTCTATAAAATGAGTATGATGGAAATGGATGGTCAGTAGCTAATCAGGGGCCAGAGACCTCTCAGGGGCTTGAGGGTTTCTCCTTCAAAGAAACACATCTTTCTGGTGCTCCTGATGGGTCCAGGGCAGACGAAACTTTAAAAGGCCTGTGCTGTTTGTCCTGCCCACAATCGACTCATATGTAGCCTTTCTCCTTTTTCTTCCTTTACAGCTTTTGAGGGACCCCCTCCCATGCTTTCCACATGCTAAGCCTTGGAAACAGGAAAAGAATTTGACCCCAGACATCACACCCAGTTCCACAGAAGAGAACTCTAGAGCTCCTAGGAAATGGGACTCTAGACTCCCAACACCAGTGTGGCCCAGCCTGGTGTGGTAACTTGAGGGGAAGCCCCTGACAAGCTCTGGGTCCCTGCTCAGCACCCTGGTCACACAAGCCTGCAGCTTTGAGGTGACTTTTACAGATTTGGACTGTGGAAGACATATATCCAATCCAATTGTTCCCAAAATAAATTCTCCCACCGCTCATAGTGGAAAATGAACTCCTTTATCAAACTTGAGCCACAGCTGTTTTTCAATTTTGTGTTACATTTATTTATGTGTGTACGCACATCTGTTGCAGGGTTTTCTGAGACCACCACGGCCAGCAGAGTAATGATCCTCGGGAGGCAAGAAGATAGTTTAGTTCAGTATGACTAAGTGCCTGGTGCTGGCTCACACTTCAGGAGTCTGGCGGCAAGTAGTTTATTTTAGGCATATTTAAGCACAGCACAATTTGGTGAAAACTTTTTTGGCAATAATTAGCTCAATCCTGAGTGCACACTAAAGCAAAGATGTGTCTATATCAAAACTTTTTGTAAAGTACATATGACACTTTCCATAAAGATAGGCTCTGTAGATTGACAAGCTCACAGAAAAGGTCTGTGGAAGGATCTGGTGTGGTCTCAGGCACACAGATAGTGAAAAGGTCACCAGGCTATTAACCACATCCCCTCCCAGCCTTCTGGACGGATAACAGGTTATGCATCCCTTCCTTTGAAAGAACAGCCCTATGTATTTAGTCTTCCAGGTTCCCCTGGTGCTTATCTGTGAGGACAAGGACCTCTGTGCCTCCCACAGTCTGCAAATGTGTGGAGGTCACCATGTCTCGGGAACTGAACTCGGCTGAGCGGGCTTGGTGTCAGCATCTGATCTACTGAGTCATCTCAAGACAGAGTCAGGGCTTTAACTGTCATGTCCTCAGAGGTGCCATGCTAGAGGCTCCCCGTTGGTGGTTGGCCAGGAGCACAGGGATGCTGTGCCTCCCGAGGCCAGAGTCCTGAGTGCATCATCCCCACAGCAAAGAGGGGCACTGAGAAGTTGGGAAGAGAAGGTGAGCTGGGATCGGCCCCAGGCCAGTGGCCTCCCCTGGGCCAACTCCCTTAACAAGGACTTCCCTGTAGGAGCAGACTTAATTAAACAATCTCTTTGTGCTGTGGTCCTGCTGACCTTGGCCCGGTCCTGGCTGGGGTTTTCTATCAGCCATTCCAGTTTTAACTCCCCACACCTAGCTTCTTTTTCTTTCTTTCTTTCTTTCCTAGAACATTCTCACAATATCAGTATACTGGCTGATCTAAGGAAAAAGCAGGTTGGTCCCCTTCGGGTGGCCAAAGGGCAGAGTACACTGCATCTATGACCCCCAGGGAGGGTCCTCTTGTGCTGCTACAGAGGACAGTCACATGATCCTGGGTAAAGCAGACCCCTGTCCCCAGAACACTCCTTTCTACAGGCACAGTGACCTAACTCGGCAGAGTCAAGGTAGTGCACTGTGTCTGTGCCTTCGGTGCTGTGAGATAAGTGTGGGAGAAAGCCATTCATGGACTGGGGGTGGGGAGAGCAGCTGGAGAGGGCTTCCCAGAGGTGGGGAATGTCTGAGCTAAGTTTCTGAGTGTTGGTCTCTGGGGCTGCCATCCCAAGTGGTCACCAGCCAAGTAATTAAAGACAGAAGAAACACAGCACATGACTGAGCCTGGCTTCAGAGCCTGACCCTCACCCCGTGGCCTTGGGCAGCTTCCCTGGCCTGTCCAGTCTTTAGAACAATGAAAATGGCACCTCCCCCTGACTACTATGGGATGAAGTGAAATGTCAGGGGTAGAAAAGAGAGTGGGTTAGACAGATCTGAGGGGAGGAGAAGGAGAAGAAGAAAGGAGAGAGGGAGAGGAGAAGGGGGGGGCAGCTCTTGACCACGTTCCAGGACTGGCTTCTAACCCACATGACGTCAAGGCAGTGACTCCAGGGTCCTCAGTAGCTGGCTCCCTTGACTTTGGTTTGGACTTGCTCAATGGGTTTATCTTGTTTGTAAGCAACAAAATTCAAGCAATACAACCTCTGGGTTGGGACAGGCTGGCAGGTGGGCTCTGTGAAGTCTGTCAGCACCTCCTTGGATCTACCTGCTGGGAATCTCCTGTCCTGGACCCTGAGACCAGGGAGAGAAAGTCCAGCAGGCCACAGTCACAGGCAACAAAGGAGCTTGTTGGACAGGCACAGCCACGTCCCCAGTCCACACCTATCCCACACCTGTCTCTCCTGCTCACAGAGACTCTGGGTTCTCACCAGGTCACACTCAGAGTGGTTCAACAGGTGCCTGGAGATGGGCAACACCCTGCCCATTAGATGAAGGAGTGCCGCCCTAGCCAGTCTTGGAGACGGGGAAAACCGAGGATCAGGATGACTATCTCTCATTTCACTAGTCACAGCTGAGCCATGGAATACCTGCTCACCACCTGTGTGTCATCAGCAGCCAGCTGCCACAAAAATGCCACAGAAAGCCTCCTGCTCCTGTTACCCAGGCTCCAAACAAGAAGTCAGAATGTCCCCTCTGTGAAATCAACAAGATTTATTACTAACATATTTCAAATATAAACTGTTAGATTACGCACCTGACCCTTTAATATTATGAACCAGGCTGGGTGGTGGTGGCACACGCCTTTAATCCCAGCACTCGGGAGGCAGCGGCAGGCGGATCTCTGGGAGTTCAAAGCCAGCCTAGTCTACAGAGTGAGTTCCAGGACAGGCTCCAAAGCTACACAGAGAAACCCTGTCTAGAAAAAAAAAAAGATTATGAACCAGACTCAAGATTATATGAAATCTTAAAGAGACTGGCTTATTTAATATTTATTTCTATATTTGTATATGTATGTGTGCACATGTATACATATATGCATGTTATGTATACATACACATGCCTATATATGTGTGTATATAGTTTACAGCTGAAGGAATAAGGCCACCAATGAGTTTGCTGTTCTTATTTACTGTCCTGATTAGTTTCTTGGTCAACTTGACACAAGCTAGAGTTATCTGGGAAAAGAAACCTCAACTGAGAAAATGCACCTGTCAGAGTGGCCGATAGACAAAGCTGTGGGCCACTTTCTTGATTAAGGATTTATGTGGGAGGGCCCAACCCACTGGGAGACATTGCTACCCGTGGGCTGGTGGTTCTGAGTTCTAAAGAAGGCAGGTTGAACAAGCCATGAAGAACAAGCCAGTGAGCAGCGCCCCTCCATGGCCTCTGCTGGAGCTCCTGCCTCCAGGTTCCTGCCCTGCTTGAGTTCCTGCCCTGACTTCTCTCAATGGACTCTGACCCAGAATACGTATGCCAAATAAGCCCTTTCCTCCCCAGATTTATGTTTGTTTGTTTGTTTGTTTTCGAGACAGGGTTTCTCAGTGTCGTTTTGGTTCCTGTCCTGGATCTCTCTCTGTAGACCAGGCTGGCCTCAAACTCACAGAGATCCACCTGGCTCTGCCTCCTGAGTGCTGGGATTAAAGACGTGCACCACCACCGCCCAGCCCCCAGATTAGTTTTGGTCTGTGTTTTATCACAGCGGTAGAAAGGGAGCTAGGATTCTTACAGAGCATGGGTGAAGGGTTACAGGCACGTGGGTGACACCAGAGCAAACACATCATTGAAAAGTCTCACCCCACCATGGATGACGCCTTCCTCTTAACTGCACACACAGATGGAGTCTCCTCTTTGGTTCCCTTCCACCCTCTATTTACTCCAGCACCTCCTGAGGCCATGTGCAACTGGCCCAGTATCACAGGCAGCCAGAAAGGGGGTGTGCACAGCCAGGGGCCCAGTCTCATGGGGAGGCGAGGAGACAAAGGTCTCCTTGCTCCCTGACTCTGCTTTTCATAAGTTCAAACAGTGCACAATTTACCAACATAATATGCATTACAGCCCCAAAGGCTAATGGAAGAACCTGGAGCTTGTGGGCTCCCATAATGGCTCTCCATTGAGATGCACACAATATGCAGTGATGTCCCCTCCCCAGCCAGGTCCCAGGATGGCTCCACACTACAGATGCACTGTAGGGGTCAAGAGATGCTCATCCTCCACCATCGGCTGTGTCCATTACAGCAGCATATGGATGGAGGCCCCGAGCTCCCCTCGCTGCCCAAGCACACCTGCCAGCCCAGTTGGGTCCCCCAGGTTCTCCAGACCAGGGATGCTCAACGTCCTGAGTTCAGTCCCCAGCATGGAATAAACTGGCTTCTTATCCTAGCAGCTGGGAGGTAGAAGCAAGAGGGTCAAAAGCTCTATTTCATCCTTGGCTACGTATTAAGTTAAGGTTAGCCACAGGTCTCTCATTTGGTTATCTAGCAACAGACCATAAGCATCTACTGTGTACCAGATACACTTCCAGAGGCTGGGGTGTCACTGGGAAAAGGCAGATCCTTGCCTGGCTCTCATGGGGCTGACAGCCCACGGGGGACAGACAGTTGGCAGCACTCTAAGTCACATGGGTGGACAGAGGTGTTCTGGGGGAGCACATGGGAGCTCAGGAGGGAGAGATGAATGTGTATGCTGTTTCTTTCTGGTGTTTTTTTTTTTTTTTTGTCTTAGGGTTTCTATCGCTGTGAAGAGACACCATGACCATGGCAACGCTTATAAAGGAAAGCATTTAATGGGGACTGGCTTACAGTTCAGAGGTTCAGTCCATTATCATGGTGAGGCATGGCGACATGTAGGCAGACATGATGCTAGAGAAGGAGCTGAGAATTCTACATCTTTGATCCACAGACAGCAGGAAGACTGAGACACTGGGCATGGCTTGAACATATGTGAGACCTCAAAGCCCACCCCCACAGTGACACACTTCCTCCAACAAAGCCATACCTACTCCAACAAAGCCACACCTCCTAATAGTGCCACTCACTATGAGCTTATGGGGGCCAGTTACATTCAAAGTATCGCAATTTTGGAATAATTACAGGGTTACTGGAGAGTGCCGAGATGGCCCCCAGATCTCCAGAGGCAGAGAGGATGTGCAGGTATGAGGAATCTGTCTCCTCGACAGTTATGTTTTCCCCGGCTGTGGCTATGGGGCATGTCAGAGCCAGAGACACAGTCTGACTTCAGGGCAAGTGTGTGGTCTGTGCCATTGGCTGACTTGTATGGGTGTACATGACTATCATCTCCACCCGAACAGAATGGCCCATAACACCCATAGAGGTGTCCCCAGCTGTCCCTAGCCTGGCTTCCTGTGTCTGCACTGCAACTCCATGTCATTTCAAGGACAGTACATAAGAAGAGACCCACAACAACAACCTTCTGAGCCACAGTATCCTCTATTGATCTCCCTTACTCTGTTCTCTCCCTCCCTCTCTCCCTCCCTCCCTCTCCCCATCCATCCCTTCCTCTATGACAGAAGGTAAAGACATTTTCTCTGATTCCATGATCATGAGCCTCATTTTATTGAGATGCATCACCTTCCTTCTGGAATATTCTACAACCTCTTCCTGATGCCTGATGGCTACATTGTTTGAAGAAATAAACCAGTGACTTTCTGGAACACTTTTCTTTTGGAACTGGGTGTCCCATTGTGTAACACTGTGAGGTGGCCATTACTGACTCAGACTCAGAGCTGTGATCACCCAGACTCCTGAGACCCTTGGTAGAATGGGGATAGAGGGGGCTGGAGAGATGGCTCAGCAGTTAAGAGCACTGGCTGCTCTTCTAGAGGACCCGGGTTCAATTCCCAGCACCCACATGGCAGCTCACAACTGTCTGTAATTCCAGTTCCAGGGGATCTTACACCCTCACACCAATGCACATAAAATAAAGTTAAAAAAAAAAAAAGAATGGGGATGGGGGGGACATCAGACCCTCACCTGAGATCACAGCCACCTGCTGGCCCAGCTGTATGTGGCTCTCCTGGAGACACTAGAGTGAGTGTTCAGGAGGAGAGGGCTGACTGGATGAAGACTCATCTGTGCATCACCCATGCTGGGGTGGGAATTGTTGATGGTGTAGCTACCTTCGAGGCAGCCATGTTTCTGGAGATAATCCCAGTACACTCACACTCACCAGCTCACCAAGCTGGACATGTGTGAATTCTTCTCTTCAGTCTGTCAGTACCCTCCCTAGGGTGAATAGAAAGACTCCCCAAGAAAACTCCCTCCCTCCTTCATACATCCATCCTACCAGGGCATAGGACACCCCTGTCCCTTCCTGGTGACAGCCAGGTGGACTCCTGCGGGGTGTCTTCCTGTGAGGTGGCTGCTTTCCCTTTGTGATTGGCAAGTGTCTTGTGGGCACATGTTTCACAACCTTGCAGGGGGCACCTTTCTCACTGACCTGCCTGAGTCAGTGACCATATTGGGGTTACCTACCACAGCATGGGAGACCGGGAAGTCCACCCCAGCTCAGGTGACAGCTCACAGAAACCTGCATCTCTGGAGTCTTGGGCACAGGCAGCTCCTCTCCTCTCCCCAGCAATTGCTCACTGCTTACACGGCCTCAGGAGGGGCCTTGCAACTACTTTCAATCCCTTATGATTCTCATGAGCTTCCTCAGTGAGAGGAGGCTTCAAATTGCAGAAAACAGGTATACAATGATCGGAGGGACAGTGGCAGTGGGGTTCCCAAAAGGCTTCTCCGAGAGGGAACCTCTATGCCTAGGCCTGGAGAAAGAGAGGATGCTCCACAAATAGCTTGGGGAGATCATGCCTGGCTGAGAAACCCGTGAGCATCAGGGCTGGGAGGCAGGGCTGGTGAGCTCTCCTTTCAACAGCGACCAGGAATGAGGGCTGTGGGCACGGACAGGGTGACAGAGGGGCCTGTGGGTCTGGACTAGTGGTTAGAGTTACTGCAGGGGGATGCCTGCGCCCTGGCTCAGGTCTCAAGGGATTCCCAGCACTACCGGTTTGGGAAATGAGTCCAGGGGGAGCCACAAAGAAGAGCCATTTATTTTTACTTTCATTTATGTATGTATTCACATGTGTACATGTGTACATGCAATGTGTGTGAGCATGCAGAGGCCATAGGGCAAGTGCCTTCCTTTTTTTTTTTTTTTCCTTTTTGGTTTTTTTGAGACAGGATTTCTCTGTGTAACCTGTTCTGTCCTGGAACTCGCTCTGTAGACCAGGCTGACCTCAAACTCATAAAGATCCACCCGCCTCTGCCTCCCAAGTGCTGGGACTAAAAACATGCACCACCGCCGGGCGGTGGTGGCTCACGCCTTTAATCCCAGCACTCGGGAGGCAGAGGCAGGCGGATTTCTGTGAGTTTGAGGCCAGCCTGGTCTCCAAGGCGAGTTCCAGGAAAGGCGCAAAGCTACACAGAGAAACCCTGTCTCGAAAAACCAAAAAAAAAAAAAAAAATGCACCACCACGATCAGAGACAAGTATCTTTCTTAACTGCCTGCCTGCCTCCTCCTCTTCCTCATCTTCATCTCTGTGTGAGAGTGGGGGTGCATGTGTGCCAAAGGACAACCTTGGGCGTCAGTGCCCCTCTTTGACCTTGTTTGAGACTGGATCTCTTGTTCACCACTGCGCAGAGCAGGCTGGCTAATGCAGGAGCTTCTAGGGAGTCCCCTATCTCTGCGTCCTGTCTTGCTGGAGGGGAGCTGGGGTCACACACACACACACACACACACACACACACTATGATGTCACACTCTGCCTTGGTTCTAGGGATCCGAACTC